CAAAAAAACCCCCACTTTCACGTAGGTACTATCTATTGTAAATAGATCCTCACCACCAACCCACTTGCTTTTTTTGTTCCAATCCCTTCTTAGTTTTCAGGACAGAGATTAAGAAATGGGAATGGAGTAGCCAGCCTTCATTTTTCCTGAAGGCAGAAGTTAGTCGTAAGGGAATTACAGCAATGCAACTTACCATCGCCATCTCGTGGCGAAAAGAGGGAAGTCAGGCTCTTGGAATACAGAACTAAGAAATCAAAGGTACCTCCCCAAGCAATGGCAGTGGATTGTTGGTGTGGACAGCCAAGGTTTAAATCAGGCATTCTTAACCTTTACTGTGTCATGAATTCCTTTTTCAGTCTGACGAATCCTATGGATTCCTTCTTGGAATATTTAAAACAATAATTGAAGGAAATGCTCAATTTCAGTTAGAAGTTAGTAATAATAAAAGCTAGCGTTTATGTAGTGCTTTAAGGTTTGCAGAGTGCTTTATGAATATTAACTTGTCTGATCCTCAGAGCAACCCTGGGAGGCAGGTGTTATTATTATCATCCCCATTTTATAGATGAAGAAACCCCTTTCTCACATTGTGAGACACCCCTTCTTCCTTGCCAAGGCCAACCCCTCTCCATGCAAGAATGATTCAATTCCATACTGTCTTCTCCAACGGATTGTCCCTTTTGTCAGCTCACTCCTTTTCCATCTTGCCTTATCTATTGGCTGCCTACAAAAATACCTATGTCTTCTCCAGTGGATCGATCCTTCTATCATCTCGACTTTCTCACTGACTCATCTTCAATGGCTCCCTATCTACTGGCTGCTTCAATGCTACCTACCAAAAGGCCCATCCTCAAATCTCCGTCCTCAAAAAAACCTGACAATCCAACAATTCCTGCTAGTTCTCCTACAGTTCTCCTGCCTTTTGTAGCTTCACTCTTTAGGAACACTGAATGCATTCCATGACTAGGCTCTCTTCTTTCACTCTTTTTAAATCTCTATGGTCTGGCTTCTGATCTCATCATTTAAACTGCTCTCAGGGAATGCTCTTCATGCTCTTAGTTCCTCAGCATTTCCTTTCCCATCTCCAGGCCTGTCTCCAATGTCTGAAATGCTATTTCCTCCTCATTGTCATCTGCTGTGTCTTAGGAATCCTTAGGTTCAAGGCACCTAAGTGGCACAGTGGATAGAGCACCGGTCCTGAAGTCAGGAGGACCTGAGTTCAAATCTTCCCTCAGACCAAACACTTGACACTTACTAGCTGTGTGACCCTGGGCAAGTCACTTAACCCCAATTGCCTAAAAATAATAATAATAATAAAAACAAACTGTTCTCACCAAAGCTACCAGTGATCTCCAACTTTAATAGCTTTTTCTCAGTCTTCACCCTTCTTGACTTTTCTGTCACCTTTGACACTATTGATCCCCTTCTTCTTGATATTCTCTTTTCTCTAAGTTCTCAGGACACTGTTCTCCTGGTCCTCCTCCTATCTATTTGACTGGTCCTTCTCAGTTCCATTCACTGGATCTTCATTCAGGTCATAGCTACCAACCATAGATGTCCCAGGCTCTGTCCTGGGCTCTCTTCTCCCTCTATTTCACTTGGTCAACTCACCAGCTCCTATGGATTCGGTTATCGTCTTTATGCTAATAACTCCAAATCTAATTATCTAGCCCTAAGCTCACTGCTAACCTCCAGTCTTGCATCTCCAACTGCCTATTAGACATTTCAAATTGTATGTCCTATAGACATCTTAAACTCAACATGTTCAAAACTTAATTAACTGTCTTTCCCCCCAAACCTTCCCTACTTCCAAGTTTCCATAACACTATCAAGTCCTAACCACCACCCCCTACCCAACACACTCACAACCTAGGTATCATTCTTTACTCCTCATTTTCTCTCACCCCTCCACATTGAATCTGTAACCAAGGCTTGTTAATTTGGCCTTTGCAAGATTTCTCACATATCCCCCTTCTCTCTCTGATACTGCTACCACCCTGGCAAAGGTATTTATCTCCTCACACCTGAAACTGTTGCAATAACCTGCTGGTTGGTCTGCCTGCCACAAATTGCCCCACTTTTGTCCATCTCCCATTCAGCCACCAAAGCAATTTTCCAAAAGGGCAGGTCTTACAATGTCACTCCCTTACTCAATAAACTCCAGTGGCTCCATATTACCTGCCCACGTCCCACTCACCTCCTTACACCTCACCACATGCTCTTTGGTTCAATAAGACTGGACTCCTCTAGATTCCTCAAATAAGACACTCTGTCTCCTGACTCTAGGCATCCTGGCTGCCCCCCCCCCCACAAGCATAGAAGGCCCTCCCTCTTCATCTCCACATCCTGGCTTCCCTGGCTTTCAAGTCCTAGCCAAAATCCTATCTACAGGTAGTCTTTCCTGATCCCTCTTAATTTTAGTGCCCTCCCTCTGTTGATGATTTCTTATTTATCCTGAATATAGCTTGTTTGTATATATTTGTTTGCTTGTTGTCTCCCCATTAGAATGGGAGCTCCTTGAGGGCAGGTTCTGTCTTTTACCTTTCTTTGTATTCCCAGCACTTAACGTGATGCCTGGTACATAGAGCATTCTTATTAGGCATTTAGAACATTTTTGCATAGGATTATTGATAGCTTTGATTCCTTTCTCTGAAAACTGCTTGTTCATATCCTTTAATCATTTATCATCTGGGGAATGGCTTTTATTTTATTCATTTGGCTCAGTTCCCTACATGTTTGATAACTGAGACCTTTATCAGAGAAACTTGCTGTAAAAATCCCCCCGTTTTTCTATTTTTCTTTTAATTTTGCTTGCATTGACTTTATTTGAGCAAAACCTTTTTAATTTTAGGTAATCAAAATAATCCATTTTACCTCCTGGGAACCTCTTTATCTCTTGTTTTCTCATGAACACTTCCTCAATCCATACATCTGACGGGTAATTTCTTCCACGCTTCTCTAATTTACTTATGATATCACCCTTTAGGTCTAAATTATGTACCTATTTTAAGCTTATCTTGGCATGTGGTATGAAATATTGGTCTGTGCCTCATTTCTGCCAGACTACTTTCCAGTTTTCCCAGCAACTTTTTTTTTTTTATCAAATAGTAAATTCTTGCCCCAATAGTTGGGATCTTTGGGTTTATCAAAAACTAGGTTACAGTGCTCATTTGCTTCTATATATTGTATATCTAATCCATTCCACTGATCAATCACTTTATTTCTTATACAGTATCAAGTGGTTTTCAGGATTACCTCTCCGTAATATAGTTTAAGATCTGGTGCTGCAAGGCACCCTTTCTTTATGTTTAAAAAATTAATTTCCTTGATATTCTTGACATTTTGTTCCTCATAGAAGGTTCTTAATAATGGGCATTGCTTTAGTCAAACTGAGACCTGTTAAAGACTTTAGCTTTAAAGGGCCAAGGTCTCCCACTACATTCAGGGCCATCTCCAGTTATCCTGATCAATATCTTTCCACTGGACCCAGATGGTTCTAGAGGGGAAAGTGAGGCTGGTGACTTTGCACAGCCCTCCTTTGCTTAAATCCAATTCACTTGCAAGTCACGGCATCATCTTCCTGTTGTCATGGTCCTCCCCAAGAACAAAGGACAAAAAACAACAACAATTGACTGACTGAGAGTGAGAGTGAGAGAGGACGAGTGATTAAGCCCAGGAACACACAGCTACTGTCTGTGGCTGGATTTGAACTCAGTTCTTCCTGATGCTAGGTTCAATGCTATATCTATTGCACCATCTAGCTATGAAAAAAATTATTTTTTTTTGCATATAAGTTCATGGATCCTCTGAAAATTATCTAGCCACCCATTGTGGGTCTGTGACTACTCCTTGGTGTCATTAGGATCATAGGCTTTAAAGCTAGAAAGACTTAGAAATCATGTAATCCATCACCCTCATTTTATGAGTGAAGAAGCTGAGTTCCAGAAAAATAACTTGCTGGGAGAACTGGGTAGCCTCCTTCCCAAACTACCTTGGATTTAATTACTCTGTATTTACTTGTATTTATTCTCTTGATATTGTATTCTGCATAAAATCATATATGTATTTATTATCTTTTCCATTAGAATGTAAGTTCCTTTGTAAGTAGGGATTGTTGCATTCTTTTTACTTGTATCCCTAGTGCCCAGTAAGGTGCTTGGCATGTAGTATGTACTTAATAAGTGCTGATTGAATTATTGATCCATAAAATGACATGGTTAGACTGGTTAACCTGTGCAGCCCTTACAGCCCCAAATTCTATGACTGTGGCTTTCACTGGTTCATATAGAGCATGAGGCACAGAGAAAAGGAATCAATCAGCACTTTGGGCTATGGAAAAGACCCATTCCTGAGGAGCACAGGTCTAAACAAAGAGCCTTCCAGGGACATATAAATGTGTCTCAGAGTCTCCCTGGTTGAGGCTAGGAGGAGAATGAAAAGGAATTGCTTTCATTCCCTTTTCTATCCTTACTTGGCTATGAATTCTATAATTTGTTCTTGACTATGGGACAAATCCTTGGGAGATGAGGGTGGGGAAATTAGAAAGCAGGGCTTGTGCATGAGCTTTGGCCAAGGATAGATGTTGTATTTTCTTCAGTCAGAACTGTAGGACATTTGAGCTTAAAAGGACTTTAGAGAAAATTAAGTTTAATCTCATTTTACAGATGAGAAAATGAAATTCCAGAGAGACTCACTCAAAGTCACACACAAATCAGGAGCAGAACTGAAGTCAGAACAGACAGATTGACTCCCAGAACAGTGTTCACTACACCTACTTTTTGAGGCCTCCTATGCCACTTCCTTCATAATCTGAGCCTGGAAAAGGAGGAATTCAATGGAATTAAAATGTAATAGTTTCCTGGTTTCAGAGGCAGCTAATTTCCACCAAGTTCTGAATCTGAGGCCAGGCCACACAAGGAGTTCAGTCTTCATTTTTCCTCTTGATCTTTCCCTCTTTCCATCCCCTCTCCCCAACTTTTCCCTCAACTCCCAATTCTCCCTACCTTTCACCAAGGGGAAGAAGCAGTCCATCTCCACGCTGCTTCGGGAATGGGAGATGCAGAGTGCACTGCTGGGGACCAGACCCTCCTGTGGGGGGCTTCGTTCAGTGGTTCGGACTAGACACCAGCCAGGTCGTTCACTGGGTCTCTCCAATAGCTCCACTGTCTGTCCCACCTGAATGGTCAACTCACTGCTGTGGCCAGCATTGAAGTCCTGGAGCACCACGGTCAGCTCACATCCTCCAGAGAGCTGTAGGTGGGGTGTGGGTAGAGACAGGGGGTCAGAAGGAGAGGAAGAGAGGGGACAGGAAAGACCAGAATAGAGGGAAAAGTGAGAGTGTGGGGAAGGAGGAAGGGTAATGAGGTAGGGGAGGTGTGAAGGTGAAAAAGAGATAGGATACAGGGTAGGGTTAGGAAGGATGGTGAAGGGGATTCAGTGAGAAAGAAGGGTGTTGGAGAGGAAGGAAGGAAGAAGGAAGAAGGGAAGCAGAGGATAAGGAAGAGGGGGAAGTGGGAGAAAGGGTGCAGGACAGGAGAGAAAAACAAGAAAAGGCAAGAAATTAAACAGGGTAATCCATCATCCAGGCAATCATTCAACCCCCCTAGTTGTATTTGAACCAAGAGACTGGACCCTTCTGGAGTTGAATTTTTGTCTGCTGTTCATCCTTGATTGGTTGAAATTATTCTTCCTTGTTCTTTTTGCCTAGTGTCCAGCTAATTGTGCCTTTAAAAGCCTTCCAAGATAGAGTCCTTTACCTCCTCCAAGGGCTTTGCCCATCTCTATTCCCATTTGCTCAGCTTTACTAAGGTCCATTTCTAATGGAACTTCTTTATAACCCCAAACAAGCACACACAGGCACAAGTCAACAAGAATTTTTGGAGGCAATAGGGGAAGAAGATGGTTGTAATTTCCTGCTGGTCACCCATGACTCTTTGCACCCATCAGTAGAAAATAGTGCCTGAAGGAGACGCATTAGAGAATAAGGCCCCTACTCAGAGACAAGAGACAAACAAAATTTTTCCATAAGTGGGAAACAGATTCATGTGATTTAGTTGCAGGGGACTTGGGGAAGGGATGAGTTAAGAAAGAGATCCATTTTTCATTTAGGAACAGACTGTTCCTTCCCTTTCTTCTGCCTTAGTTCTAGCTAGAGGGAGGGATGACATCCCCCCACCCCCAGACTAATTTTGATGTAGAACAAATAAACATGAATTGAGAGTATGGGGTAGAGAAACCAGGTTCAAATGGTGGGAAACCAAATTTTCTAAAAAGCATTTAAGATACAAATACTCAAACTTTGTCATCCTAACCTATATACCCAGTTTCCAAAATCCCTGCCTCCCCCCACCCCAAATCCTCCACTCCATCATCACTTCTCAAGTAAAATCTCCAAGTTTGTTCACAGATACCATCACTAAGCAGTGGGTTTTCCTCTTGGTATTGTAGTAATACTTGCAGGTTTGGGAGGGGGTGGAGGAAGGATGGAATGAGGGAGCAAAAGATCAGTCCAAAGGCTTTATATAGTCTAGAGTTTACTACCCCTGTTACTGCCAAACAGCATTTTGGAACTCTGTAGTTCTGGTATTCATTCATTAATTCACCATAATTTAAGATCTCTGTATACAAAATGCTGTGCTATGTAGTCAGCTATATATGAAAATCTGTATGACATAGTTCCTGTCATTAAGAAGATAAGACCAGTACACAAATAAATATAAAACAAAGGAGCTTAAGAGATGCAAAGAAGGAAGGCCTTATGGTAAAGTGGAAAGAATTAAAGGATCTGGGTTCAGGTACTGCCCCTGAGGCTTAACTGCTGGTGTGATCTTGAGCAAGTCACTTAAACTCTCTAAACCTTAGATTCCTTATGTAGGAAATGAAGGAGTTAGATTAGATAGCCCCTGATGTCCCTTCTGGTTCCAGATCTATGATTCTATGATCCTCTCAGTGCTAGGACAATTCAGAGGATGGACAGCTCACCACTGGCTGGGCTGTGGGAGTGGGAAGACAGTATCAGGAAAGGCTTCATGGAAGAGGCGGCATTTGAACTGGTAGGGTTTCAACAGGCCAAGGTGACTGAGGAATACACTGCAGGTATGAGGAATGGTGTGAATAAAGGTGAAGTGGTGGAAAAGGTATAGACGTCTTCAGGGAATGGGGGGCAGACTAGTTCTGAGCGTAGAGCGTAGTTTAAATGAAGAGTCGCTGCATGCACTCCCCGGTCTTGGCCTCCACCATCATCATGCTTCCAGAAAACCTCTTTACCACTAAGTTCATCCTGTAAGATTGTGCCAGATTTAGTACTCAGACCTCTTTAGTACCCTCAGAACCCTCTGCCCCTTTATTGGAAGGCAGAGCAAAGAACTCCCCAAGTGTCCATTGAAAGAGGGCTCACAGACCAGCCAACTCTTCATTTCTCACTAATTGCATTTTGATCAGATTCTACCATGTCTCCATGCCAGGTACCTTCTCTTCCCTTCCACCCCCCCACATCCCCTTCAGCTTTCTTTTTGTGTTATTTTTCCCCATTAGATTGTAAGATCCTTTGCTCTCAGAAAAACCTGGAAAGACTTACATGAACTTATGCAAAGTGAAATGAGCAGAACCAGGAGAACTGTACACAGTAACAGCGATATTGTATGATGGTCTACTATGAATAACTGAGCTATTCTCAGCAATACAATGATCCAAGACAATTCTGTAGGATTTTATGATGAAAGGTGCTGTCTGTCTCCAGAGAAAGAACTGGTAGAGGCTGATTGCTGACCAAAAATACTTTTTCTTTCTTTTTTTTTTTTTGGTCTGTGTTTTCTGTCACAGAATGGCTTATGTGTAAATGTGTTTTGCATGACTACACATGTATAGCCAATGTAAAATTGCTTGCCTTCTCAATGTGGGAGGAGGGGAGGGAGGTAGAGAATCTGGAAGTCAAAATTTGAAAAAAAAAAAGAACGTCAAAATTGTTTTTACATTTAATTGGGAAAAAATAAAATATAACATAAGAAACAAAACATATTGTAAGATCCTTAAGGGCAGGATTTGTGTTTATGTTTGTTATTTATACTTAGTGCTTAGAACACATAGCAGATGCTTAATAAATGTTTATTGGCTGACTAACTGAGGAAAGGCTGAAATGATAGGAAGGCAATAGAGAGTAGAGGGTTTTGAATGCCAGGCTAAGGAGTTTGCATTATTTAGCAGGAAATAGGGAGTTGTTGACTATTTTTGAGGAGAGGAGTTCTATAATTCGAGTTTTGGCCCAGGGAAGATTAAGAAGCTCAGAGACACAGGCTAATAGATTGATAGATTGCTAGAGTTGGAAGGGCCATCCGAGGGCATTTAGTCTAATCCCTTCCATTTACAGATGAGAAAATGGAACACAGTAAGATTAAGTGAGTCAGTAATAGATGTAGTGAATGAGAAGGCCTGGACTTAAATTCCAGGCTTCCAACTCTTAAGTCCATTGCTTTTTCAATGATCAGGGGAAAGAGTATTGAGTACTTGTCCTAGATGATCTTGAAGGTCTCTTGTGCCTCTAATATATATAATCTGATTTTGGGCAGATGGGGGTGTGTGAAATGAAATAAATTACAAGGGGAATCTGGAGCAGGGAGATGTGTTAGCAGGTTATACCAAGATGAGGGTCAGAATGAAGATGAAGTCCATGGGAATGTTATGGGAAGGATGGAGAGGAGAACTACTTCACAGCTCAAATGGACAGGCCTTGTAAACTGATTGAGGAATGATGGCAAAATGCAAAGAACACTGATTTTGGAGTCAGAGGACTTGGCTCTTGGCTCTGCTCTTTACCGCTTGCTGACTTTTGGCAAGTCACATTAGCTTCTCCAAGTCTGTTTCCTCATGTGTAGAGGGAGGGGATCGTACTGGGTGGATCCTGGGGTCCCTTCTTGCTCTAAATCTAGCATCCTAAGATCAATGATTCTGTGATTGGATGCAGAGCAAGAAGATGAGGTAAGAATAACTTGAACAATTTGATCCTGGGTGACTGAGAGAATGGTGGAATCGTGAATAGAAACAGAAAAGTTAGGAGCAGTCCACAGCCAACTTGGGACACTCCTCAACCCCCTCAGGTGTCCTTGACATGGTAATTTTGGATGATGACTCAGATGGAGTGAAACTGGAAATATACATGGAGCTCTGTCTCAGGAACAGAGTCTGTCTATTTTGCTAAAGACATTTCCTGAAGTGGGAGTTGCATTACAGCAGATGGAGAAGCTGCCACATAGTCACTACTGTACAGGTTGGGGGTGGGGAAAAATGACTTTATTGATTCATTTTTTCCCCCATCAGATTTTTCTGGGTACCATGAGGCTCTGAGGCTACTTTTTTTCTTTTGTTTCTTCCCTTCTTTTTCTTTTCCCCTTCTTTTTTCCCCCATATATTCTTTCCCTCTTCCTTCTTTTTACCTTTTCATTCTTTTTACTCCCTCTTCTTCCTATTCTTTCCCTATACTTCTCCTCCTTTACACATTTTCTTAACCTTTTCCTTCTCATTTTCTCCCTCTAACCAACTGTCATTCCTCCCCTACTTTTTATCTCTACATCCTCATTTTTCTTCTTCCCTTTTTCTCCTCCTCCCCAGATCCTGAACTATCTCTTCCTTCTTCTCTTCCCCTTCCTACCTGTTTTCACCTCTAAAGGGCACAAAGTAATGAGCCAGGGGGCTGCAATTCCCTTTGCTATTTCCATTTCTCCTCTGGGGAGGGCTGAACCTCTGGGTATTGTGTCTGTTGTCCTGGGGACTTTACTCAGAGCCTGTCTCACTTGGCCCTAGAACAAATACTTAGGGATTTTGACAAGGCAGGGGCACACAGAAGAGCATGTGTAGAAAGAAATAACATTCTTCTCTTATCCTGGTAGAAACAGACATATGAAGGGCAGCAGAAAGCACTTCCTCCTCAGGTGGCCAGAGCAGCATGCCCAGGGTTCAGTCCTTTACAGCTCTTTGCCCTCAAGAGCAGTGTAAACACTCAAGCTTCCCCCAGGCATGGGGCCCATTGCGTTCTAAGGAAGTTACAGCCTCTCCACATTTCTCTCAGATTTTATGTGACCTCCCCTCTTCCCCACCCCATTCCTCTCCCCTTCCAAAGAGCCAAGGAGTATTCTGTGGCTGTCATTCTGCCTTACCAGGCAAGAAGGAAATCCAGGTTTCTGAAGAGATACACTAACATACCACTAGGTGTCCTTATCTTCCTTGCTTATGTCCTCTAGGCAAACAAAGGCCACATC